GTTCTATCCGGTCAGAGTGATAAAAGGATGCATTGTCCATAACTAACACAGACTTCGGCTCTAGCCAGTAGCCTGTGCCATATCATAGATAAAGCTCAAGCTTGGAAGGAGCTAGGTTTGGAGCTATCTTTGGTTAGACCACTCGTAATTGATTGTCAAAGTGTGCCTCCCGAGGAAAGCTGTTTTGGAGGAGTGGTATGTGAGGTGCCAGATATATGAATTTACGAGCGAATACATGCCCGAAATTACCATGTAATCCACGGACGAAGCAATACGCCCGCAACTTACAGGGGTACTCCGGAAGAACCCCAAATATAGACTAGTGTGTCTTGGCGTAGGGGGCAGGAAAGTCAATCGAAGAGTGTAGGTGGTCGCACCAGTTTCGGGATGCACTGTATTAGGTTCAAATTTGTGACGGAAACTTCAGAAATAGAGACGCTAAGTTCTCCACACGATGTATTTCTCTATATTATTTTGGGAGTGAGACTCACGTTCCTGGGATCATATCCGGCCCTAGGATCCATAGCATGGTTCCTAGGCACGCTCTTGGTCGCTCCTAGGAATCAGACTCATGGTTCCTAGAGGACCTATAGCTCCCAGGAGTGAGTGGTATAGGTCCGGGGAACGAGGAGTGGGTTTTCCGAGCTTTAGTGCGTTTAGTAAGATCGGTGCCAGCGGATCACAAATCCCGGGAGCATGAGGGCTCCCCGGAATCAACAAATAATTCCTGGAATGTATGAACATCATTGGATCGCACATCTTGAAGATTAATCTATTACTGATCATACGGATCAAGCAGGATAGCTTATGATATAATGTCTACAATGTATTTTTCGACTCGTCTTTCAGTACTTCTTGTTCAGTTTTAGGGTATGAACAATCTATTTTGATACAGTATGGGCCAAAAAGCGTCTAAAACCCACCTCCCACTTGAATGTCCACTGGATATAGCATGACAGCCTCTATAGATATTAGAAGTGGTAGTAAAGGCCTAATGAGCCACCTGGCTAAAGCCTCTCATAAATCGATTCAAGGCCATCGAGGTCCAATGTAAGGAGTTCAGCATCCAAAGTTGCCTGTGATCAGATATCACATGTCCGATAACAGTAAGCTGAAAATGACCGCCTACTGCTCCAGAGCTTACGCCAAATGGCCATAGTTAAAAAGCGGTGGCGTAAGAGACAGACGCTAAGACCTAATGATCACGAGCACCGGTCGCCAGTTGATTGCTAAAGGGCCGAGCTGGCCCATGAGCCGGAGACTATGGGCCAGCTCGGCCCTTTAGCAATCAACTGGCGACCGGGCGGGCTTACTAACCGAGTAGGCCAAGGAGCGTGTGGCTACAGTGCTTATTCGATCAAGATCCGGATCTTGAGGGCCGAACATGAGCTATGCCGTTACACCACAACGCTAGTTGATGGTAAAGCACCACATGACCGTTGAGGTCGCGGAATCGTGGTAAATCTTGGGATGGTTATTGTCCCGTGATCCTTTGATTCGTAAGATTATCATCGTGGATGAAAATCGTAGTGTTTCTCATGATACCACTAGACTGACGGGGGCTTGGTTCATGGGAAGACCCTTAGAGTTGCTGAAGTATCGTGACATTTCTTACGACAGCGATGGCCGTATGTCCTTGCGGATCGCAAGAGAGTCAGAGCTCACAGAAACCGTGGCTTTTCCTATGATATAGATAATCAGATGATCGTCTGGTTCGTAGGAGCCTAAAGCGCGCGGAAAACGTGGTGTTCCCTAGGATCTACCTTTTCCAACGATATGTAGGCTCCCCCGAGGGGTCTGAGATTATAAGAAAATCTGTGGTTTCTCCTATGATAGAGATAATCAGAGGACCCCTCCTTCGGGAGAAATTCAGAGTTCGCGGAAACCGTAGTTTTTCCTACGATAAAGAGAATTAGACGATCTTTTGGTTCATGAGACACTAAGGGGTGCGTCAACCGCCCAATCAATTGGTTCATTATTGTGCGGCCCATGCATGGCCGGTTTTTATAGAATCACCAGAACCACGACGAATACCATGACCTTTCCGCAACCTCTGTACGATACTCCGTGGTGGCGTATGCACGTGACTTTGCTGACTTGTAGATTGATTGGCTATTGATGGCGAGTTTGTGGCATCCAGCCTCGCTTCTGTAGATAATTGGGAGATAACAAGCCAGGCCACGGATCCTTTCTCCCATAGAACATATTACTGTAGCCAACGATGTAGAGAAGTGAATCTGACAAATGAATACAACCACTTCGAGGGTACAGTATAAGTTCCCGCGTAAAGCTAATGGATCAGATAAACCAATGTATGATTGGGGATTGGGTACTCTGGTATTCCTTTCTCCACCTTGGAGTAGCGTGGCTGACGTTCACTTCGTCATAAGGTCGTGCTTGGTGCGGCGACCTCATTTGCTCGCATCCTAAGGGACGAAACCAACCCATAGAAGCTTCTGGAGCATTGGCTGTCATAGTCGCAGCTGTATAGGCCGTTTTCGATTATGTACAACTGGAAGCAAACCAATATGGACTTTGTTGCTTTAGGGTGGAGAAATGAGTAATTAAAAGCCAATTATATTTCTGCTACAATATCATCATGCCATTGGCCAGCTGTTACTCCTTTCTCCACCTTGGGGTAACGAGCTCCCCCGATGTCGAAAAAAGAGCGGGGCTGTAGGCTTAACACTTGATATATTTTCCCTCTTCTCGTATTTGGTCAGGCCATGCCATGCCAGATTGATACTCCTGGTCGAAAGGGCCAGCATGTATCATGCACAAAACCGGACCAGTGGGTATAGGACCCAGGTCCATTTCAGTCAAGAAGTTTGTGGCATTTGATTGGAGAGTCCTGGCTTCCTCTACTTGCCGGACCCTCTAGTCTTGCCGGACCCTCTAGTCTTGCCGGACCCTCTAGTCTTGCCGGACCCTCTAGTCTTGCCGGACCCTCTAGTCTTGCTGGACCCTCTAGTCTTGCCGGACCCTCTAGTCTTGCTGGACTCCCTAGTCTTGCTGGACTCCCTAGTCTTGCTGTGGACTCTAGAGACTCTTGCTGGACTCTCTACTCTTGCTGGACTCTCTACTCTTGCTGGACTCTCTACTCTTGCTGGACTCTCTACTCTTGCTGGACTCTCTACTCTTGCTGGACTCTCTACTCTTGCTGGACTCTCTACTCTTGCTGGACTCTCTACTCTTGCTGGACTCTCTACTCTTGCTGGACTCTCTACTCTTGCTGGACTCTCTACTCTTGCTGGACTCTCACTGTAGGCTATAAATCATGTCGTGCCCCAGAAACAAGGCGCTTCATAGCCATAGATCTTAGGGCTACCGTGCAAATTAGCTGGCCCGGCAACAGCTGCAATACTTTAGAGGACCTAGGCACGCTATTAGTTGTTGTCAGGGTTATACATGAAGTATACAGGATGAATGGAGACTTGAATTACGGGATCCATATTATGCATATGAGTTCCCCTTGAACACGAAGAAGGCTGTCTCTTTTGCTTCCTCACGCTACGTTTTGGTATCTAGAGTCAACTATAGTTGTTCTTACTGTAATATCGATTGTTCATCTCGAGACACTATTCACCTCTTTACATACATCAGACCCTCACAATTGTTCCTAGAAGTAGTAACCCAAGCTCCCAGGATGCCACCTCTCGCTCCCCGGAGCTATATAGTCCACCCCCGGGAGCTGTAGACCCTCTGGGCACTATAATTCCTACTCCTGGGAGCAATCAATAGCGTTCCTGAGAACCATGCCATGGATCCTGGGGTCGAATATGATCCTAGAAACGTGAGGGTCTCACAACATAAAATGTGGGATCTGTAATCAATATTAGGAATACAAATTGAAATGCGGGCAACAGAAAGAAGAGGTGGTTAACTGGGCAAAGATATCGTGTAAAGACACCGCTTGAAGAGGAATGATGTTGAACGATATATTAATAGAAACGGTTACTTAAGAGTTGACTCAACGACGATTTCCACGACATATACTGTATCAGTAGAATAAACGAAACATCGTCGACTAGCCGATGAATGGAGAAAACATGAGGGTCAACGGGCAAGCAAACTTGCAGCTGGTGATTAAACCGACTATTTGGTTGTCTTAGAAATCTGAGTACAGCATGGTCGACAATAACAAATAAACGGATTCATTCATTTTCTTGTTAGACATAGTGAAAGAAGTAGGGTGTTTATTGAATATTATTGGCCAGACAGCAGTCCCCACTCTAAACCACGCGCATTTCCTAATACCCAGACACCCCCCAAGTCTACAGCAAGAATTTATTTCACCCTGCTACCCAAGTAAGATGTCCTCTTGGCATGCCCACTTTCTTGCCATATTCCCAAGGCCTCCGATCAAGTCCCCTTCCTGTCCTAGTACCTTGCTTACAGTATTATTTTGTGAAAATAAAAATAAAATAAAAAAGGCTCTAAAGGCCAAAACCTCAGGCTAGCTACGCTGTGTGCAGTTGACCGAATTTTCCAAAGCAGACATTCATTGTTTATGGTTGGCTCTCAAAATCAGACCAAGACTTGATGCGTTCTTCGGACACCATTAATTGCTTTGAAAGAACCAAGCTCCCTCCCTTTTGTGCTAGGCGTTAAAATGGGCGTGGCAATAAATTTGTTAGGCACATTTTACGTTCATCACCTGTTGGAGTGACCGTTTCGGAGTTTTGCTGGTCATAAACTCGGAACCCGCAGTTTCTGGAACGCGGATTCCTCGATCGCCTCTAGGTGTGGTTTTCAACGCAAATTCGTTGCCTGCTGTGAACACATCACAGTTTCAGGTGTTTCGTTGGTCATAAACTCTAAAGACCACGGTTTCTAGAGCATCACTCCTTTTCAACGCGAAATCCCATAAACATGAAGAGGGCCGTTGTTTTTGTACCTTTTGTAGCCTTAAGAATCCCTGAGAGCCACTTAGTCTATACCTGCGACTATTTAGTGACCTGTTTCCTTCAGTCTTTTCCAACAGTAACGCGTCTCTTCATATGGCTTCCGCATCTCCCACCCAGTCCAATCGATCTACATCGGTCAGAAAGTCCAAGCGCCAGAAACAAGGCCGTCGAAAATCAAGCCTTATGAAAAAAGCGGCCGAATACAGCAAGATGTGCGATGCTGATGTCTGTGTGGGCATACGCCTTCGGGAAACCGGCCAAGTATTTATCTTATCAGCAGATGCTTCGGGATTTTGGGCTTTCCTTGGCTCGCAACTAGTATGTCTCCAACTATGTCTCTGATGAAAAGTCGACTGACCTATCAAGAACTCCTACTATCCAGCCCCAAGACTAGTAACCGAGCAGGATCTGGAGCTAGTTGATAAAGATACACCGGAGCAACGTACATGAAGTCATGGCAGCACTTCCATCAGACTAGAAACTTTGCAATTAATTCAGCGACTTAAAACTACCATTTATGGCTTTTTTTCTAATAGTTCAAGTTACTGAGCGTAAAGCACGATAAGTTGTGGTTCCGACGTGGATTGATTCTCAATACGCAAGAGTACTCTATACGTAGTAGGTTCTACTTATCGGCCCCAGGAATTACAAGAATCTAGATAGCCTATGTGGTCGGTTTATCGCGCGTGTACAATTCACTGTCGTAGAGAAGGCGGTTTATATGTATGAATAAGCCCGTATTGCATTGATGGGAAGCTCTCGTGAAGTTTGGAGAAAAACGCTGTGAGCTTCAGTAGCGTTACATGGATTCTATAATTATTATGGGGACTGTTATTGGCCAATATAGTACGAGAAGAAGGCTTGGATTGGGGGCCTAGGAAAAATGGCATAAAAGTGGACATGTCACGGACTTGTCTATGAGGAAATCTAACTTGGGTAGCAGGGTGAAAAAAATTCTTGCAGTAGACTTGGGGGGTGTGTAGGTATTAGGAAATGGGCGTGATTTAGAGTGGAGACTGTTGTCTGGCCAATAATATTCAATAAACACCCTACTTCTTTCACAGTGTTTAACAAGAAAACAAATGAATGAATCCATTCAATTATTCATTCCGACCAGAGACAACGATTTAATCACCGGCTGCAAGTTTGCTTGCCCTTTGACCCTCATGTTTTCTCCATTCATCGGCTAGTCGATGATGTTTCGCTTATTTTACTGATGTGTCGTGGAAAGCATCGTTGATTGTACATATTCGGTCAATTTACAAATCTGTTGCATTGCCCCCAGTGAGCTCGCACTGGGCAGCAGTCCTTGCCAGGCTGCTGGGACGATGGATTCTTACCTTCTCGTGGTGTCCGGTGTATATCCCCGTTGGGGGAGACCGAATTGAATCCGCCGTGGTTGTGCGGTCCGGCCCGGTGCGGGAAGCGACCGCACAACCACACCAAAATCAGGGGATAACGGCATATGAAAACCATCCGACTTCTCCTTACCTGACTCGCACTCGGGCCCGATACTGGTCTTGCATTACCAGTGGAAGTGGTGTCGCCTAAGGAGAAGACAGGACACCCCTGAGCTTGCATACGGTCTGGGATCGCATCGTGCGAGATGCGGCGAGGCGGTAGTGAACCGGTGACACAGGCAGTCAAGCTGATATCGGACAGACCTCGTTCAAGGCCCAGAGGCCTCGTTAAGACTCGAACTCGTTAAGGCTCGGAGAGAGCGCTCGCTGGAGACCTCGTTAAGGCTCAGCCACGGGCAAGCTTCAGGGCGAGTGCTCTTCGGGACACGGGCACCACCGAGACACGGGCACCCTCTTGGGAGACACACGGGCAATCTGGAAAATATTGGTATTTGACTGGTGGCAGTCGGCAGGACTCGTTAAGGCTTCGCCACGGGCAACCCGTCGATCCTGTTCAGACACCGGGGACCAAGCTTGGTTAGTGGAGAGCAACCGACATATACTGCCGGATGGAGCGTATAGAGGACTTTCTGCAAGACACGGTCGGCCTGGCGGAGGGAGACCTCCTCAGGTAACGCGAAACGAGAGTGAAAGCTCTCGCGGGGCGTGGTGTACAATGGCAGCCACTGCGGCAGGGTCGGGGCCTGCCAAGAGACTGTCTGTATAGCCCGAGAGGACGGATGCGCGTGTCGGTGTACAAAAAGCCGGGAGTCAACTACCCCACTCGCACTGGGGGCCTGAGATCGACATTGGTCGGTTGAAGCGGTGTCGTCCTAGTTGGCTCGCCCGTGATGTATGCTTAAGGAGCAAACTGAGAGACACCCAGGGTGAGAGGTGTGGTGAACCTCAAAAGACCAGAAGCCTCATTTATCGGGTGAAAAACTGGGGTAGTGGTCTATGCAAGTAGACCTGTCGAAGCTACTTAATGTCTTTTGGGCGATTGCGACTTGGGCAACCAGACTGTGACACACGTCCTACTTGAGTGCCCGTTGCATCAAGAAGAGCGCGATGAGATGCGCAATGCCCTGTCTGAGCAGGGCATCACGCTTTGTCACGAGGAATTGTTGACGCGCCTCGAGGCGCGCACAATTGTGGCAGAGTTCATGATCAGAACCAATCTCCTGGGTCAGTTCCAGGGGCTGGATCCAATAGCTCTCGGAGCAGAGAAACAATGATTCCTATGGACAGTGTGACGGAAGGAGATGAATATTGCCCGCTAGGAGTGCGGTGCCAGGTCCACTGTACTCCCTTGAATCGAACGTGCACACAAGCGTCTGCTGGCAGCGGAAGAGGAGGTGGAGAAAGGGGAGAGCTGGGGTCAGAGGTGGACCAGGGGTCCCAACGAAAGCGGTGAGGACCAGGAACGTTCATTTTCATGCGGGCCAAGTGGCTGTGGTTGAACACTTGCAGCCCGCTTTCTTTTTGTCTTAGTTTATTCTACATTCGATATGGTCAGAGAAATGCTCAAAAGATGAGCCTCTCTCTATCATGTACAGGGCTGGATACCCATTTTTAGCTGTCGGCAGGCTCGATAGCACTCCCGCATAGCAGCATTTACATAGAGCAAGCTACATCGGGCAAATGAATTCATCATCATCATCATCATCAAATCTGTTGCATTTGATCGCCCATCAACGTTATACCTCTCTCCGAACAGTGTCTTTGCACCAATTTCGACTCACCTTTTCCATCTGTTACCCGCGTTTACTGCCAGCGTTTTTATTTGCATTTTCAATATTGATGACCATTCTAGATCCCGCTTTCAATCTCGCGAGTGAGACCCTAACGCTCCTGGGATCATATTCGAACTAGGAGCGAGCCAGATCGTTCCTCTACTCTTTACTTTGGGTCCTGAAGCTACACACGTCTGTTCACAGTAGTCTCTAGGCCTCTGGGAACAGAGACACAGGGACCGTGCTGGGGAACTTTACGGGGGCAAGAACTGCTATTACTTTCGTATACTACTGCAAGGTGGGCAAAGGTTGGAGCAGAGAGATCCCCTCTCACCTCATGTATGGAAGGTCAGTCGGGCTACAGCTTTAGGGCGCATCCTGATAATCCAGGAAGTTGGTTATGATGCCCTTCTTTCAGCCAATGGGTTGACCCCGAAATTAGTTAAGCCGAGACCTGGCTGACGTGATGTGATTAGCGTCTCCAAATTTGGCTGCTAGAGCAAGAATGATATTGTTTTTTTTGGGGGGGGGGGAGAGATGAACTGGACGATTTTTCAAGCTTTAGGTAATCTAGTAGCGGCGATTCTAGAGCCGAGGGGCCTATCTCTAGAATCGTCTGCAGTGTCCCTGGGGATTGATATCAAGGATACAGAGCGCTAGCTTTATCGACCCCAAGAACGTCTTAAGTAGGCCCTGGGAGCTTTGTTGCTCCTGGGACCTCAATGACAGTTCCCAGAGACAACCACAGGTCCTCTGAGGATCGATGTGAGAGTTCATGCATATATAGTAGCTTGGGTGTTTGGTCGTTGACCAAACATTGTGCCTTTTCGGCCAGATGGCTTAGTGGTAAATCGGGCCGGTATCACCGAGCCCTAGTACGTAGTCCTATATGAGCAGACTTCAATTTCAGGTTACATGTCATCAGCCTTCATGTATGTTTCTTATGATCGCATGAGAAGCCCCCAGTGAGCTCGCACTGGGCAGCAGTCCTTGCCAGGCTGCTGGGACGATGGATTCTTACCTTCTCGTGGTGTCCGGTGTATATCCCCGTTGGGGAGACCGAATTGAATCCGCCGTGGTTGTGCGGTCCGGCCCGGTGCGGGAAGCGACCGCACAACCACACCAAAATCAGGGGATAACGGCATATGAAAACCATCCGACTTCTCCTTACCTGACTCGCACTCGGGCCCGATACTGGTCTTGCATTACCAGTGGAAGTGGTGTCGCCTAAGGAGAAGACAGGACACCCCTGAGCTTGCATACGGTCTGGGATCGCATCGTGCGAGATGCGGCGAGGCGGTAGTGAACCGGTGACACAGGCAGTCAAGCTGATATCGGACAGACCTCGTTCAAGGCCCAGAGGCCTCGTTAAGACTCGAACTCGTTAAGGCTCGGAGAGAGAGCTCGCTGGAGACCTCGTTAAGGCTCAGCCACGGGCAAGCTTCAGGGCGAGTGCTCTTCGGGACACGGGCACCACCGAGACACGGGCACCCTCTTGGGAGACACACGGGCAATCTGGAAAATATTGGTATTTGACTGGTGGCAGTCGGCAGGACTCGTTAAGGCTTCGCCACGGGCAACCCGTCGATCCTGTTCAGACACCGGGGACCAAGCTTGGTTAGTGGAGAGCAACCGACATATACTGCCGGATGGAGCGTATGGAGGACTTTCTGCAAGACACGGTCGGCCTGGCGGAGGGAGACCTCCTCAGGTAACGCGAAACGAGAGTGAAAGCTCTCGCGGGGCGTGGTGTACAATGGCAGCCACTGCGGCAGGGTCGGGGCCTGCCAAGAGACTGTCTGTATAGCCCGAGAGGACGGATGCGCGTGTCGGTGTACAAAAAGCCGGGAGTCAACTACCCCACTCGCACTGGGGGCCTGAGATCGACATTGGTCGGTTGAAGCGGTGTCGTCCTAGTTGGCTCGCCCGTGATGTATGCTTAAGGAGCAAACTGAGAGACACCCAGGGTGAGAGGTGTGGTGAACCTCAAAAGACCAGAAGCCTCATTTATCGGGTGAAAAACTGGGGTAGTGGTCTATGCAAGTAGACCTGTCGAAGCTACTTAATGTCTTTTGGGCTGGATGGACACCAATGGAGGCGCAAGCTTGGAAGGCGGGCGGATGTCTTACGGCTCCCCTGAATACTTTGACAAGAGGATGGGAGAGTCGAACGGCATTCGTCCTGGCACCATGGCAAGCGCCACCAGAGGTGATCATCGAGGACAGAGAAGCTGCGGTTAACAATCACAACCAAATCCTGACGAAAGACCCAAGAGCAAGACCCTTGATTCTGTACACTGACGGGAGCGGAATTGATG